TCCACCTCTGTGAATCTATGGTGGACACATTCTCTCCACATTCATGGATAGAAAGGCCTTCCCTAGAGATCTTAAAACTCAGGTAAGCTGATATAGAGGTAATGTGGTCCTTCAGTTAACCTAGACCGGAGACATATAGGGCTTTATAGTTCATAGCCAGTGCTATGGGCCTGGAAACGGGTAGCCAGTGGAGCTTCTGCAACAAGGAATTGTTTGTTCCCTTTAACTACTCTTGGTCAGCAGTCTGGCTGCAGCTCTTTGGACCAGCTGCCAACATCCAGCATGCATGAATCCCATCATCCTGAGTTGGCCAGACATCCTTCCTGCCTTGTCTTTTTCTTAACCTTTTCCCCTTCCTCAGATACGTCTGCATACGAGGCGTCTTCATCTTGACCACAGAGTGTACCTCCCTGACAGTCACGCTGGTGGTGACACTGCGGAAGTTTGTCAGCCTCATCTTCTCCATCCTCTACTTCAGGAACACCTTTACCATCTGGCACTGGATTGGGACCTTCATTGTCTTTGTGGGAACGTTGATGTACACGGAAGTCTGGAACAACCTGGGATCTCTGCTGGATGGGAAGGGAAAGAAAGACGAGAAGAAGCAGGAATGAACAGGAACATCCCTGGGAGGGCCAATGTCTCCCTCCTCAGAAGTGGGACCTTTTCAAACTGAGTTCTCTTTTCCCTATAATGCAGCTCAATGGCGGATTCCCTTCTTGTGGAGGGGGGTTGATTTTTGTAATACAAAAATAACCATTTTGGCTATGCCAAGCAAATGCACAGGTTCCCTGGAACGGGGAGATCTTTTGGAAAAAGATTGACAAGTTGTGGAAACAAATAGAACTTTGGTTAGATGAAACCTGCTGTGGTTTAGCTCATAGGTGGAGAGCGTGTGGTCCTCCGGTTATTTTTCGACTCCTGGGTTCCATTAGTCCCAGCGGAGTGGGATGATGGGAACAGTAGTTCATCAACATCTGTAAGGTCACATGTTCCCCACCCTGATACAGGTCTAAGTGGATGTAACTTTTGTCCTGGTAAAAGGATGTGCCATATAGGTCACATAGCAAGCGTTCAGGGTATACTTCCCATTGTGCTTTATGAGATAGTGGCCATCTTGAAAAAACAAGAGAGAGTCAGGTGAGGCCAAGAAAGTTAACCATGGAAGCTAACCACATGCTGACTGGTACCACGTGTTGTTTTTCTGTAGCAGGTACATGAAGCCTCTGCATGCTGGCCACACAATCACTCAGTTTTCTATTATTTGCCACACAAAAGTGTGAGGCAGTTGTTTGCCTTTGAAAGAGCCAAAAGTCAAGTTGTATGCCCACTTGACTTTCATAATGGGGGAAAGAGGAGGAGGTCCTCCCACTTGGCTTTCTGGAACCCAACTGAAAGGGAAGTAGACAGGATGGCATTCAAATGGTTGACATAGAGTCAGGGGTTAATGTCAGATGAGTGATTTGTGATTGTAGCACAGGGTCACTATGCCCAAGAATATACTGGGGGGGGGAATAGACTTCCTGCTGGTTGGCTTGAATTTGCATGCATCTACACTGTAGAAATAATGCAGTTTGACACCACTTTAATTGCTATGGCACCCTCCTACAGAATCCTGAGAATCATAGTTTTGTGGGGCACCAGCACTCTTAGGCAGAGAAGGTAGTTTTGCGTAAGCATTGAACCAGGGCAGTTAAAGTGGTCTCAAACTGGATTATTTCTCCAGTGTGTTTCGGACCTATGCTTTCCACTTCTCTGAATTTAGAAAACTAGATGCTAGGGAGAAGGATTATAATTCGTCTTGACATGCTAGATTTCTCAGAGAAAGGATTCTAATGTGGAAGGAATAGAAAGGCCCAGATTCTATTCTAGGAATGGAGAAAGGTGTCTCATAATTTTTGCTGCTCCTGTTCTGTAGCAAAACAAAAAAACAGATTTTAGGTCACAATTAGAAAAGAGAGTGAGTGGATACTTGACGGTTTCCTTAAGACTTCTTCCTCTTGATTTTTGAGTATAGACTGTACTTTTTTTGAGCATACATACCTTTGTATAGGGCCCTGAGTAAAGTATTTCTGGCACACCTACTTTGGATTGTAGTGGCAGGTAAGCATTATTTGAATGTGTTACTTTTGTGGACTACAAATCCCAGAATCTTTCAACTGGCTATGCTGACTAGGGAATTCTAGGATTTGTAGTCCAAAGAGATAAGGTATCCAAGCTCCAGTTCGGTTCTCCGGGTGCTATTTTGCTCTATAGGTCAGTGCTTGAGATGCTGCTGGGTTGAGACACTGAATAAGCTATGTGATTATGAAGCATTGGGAAAGTTGATTTCCAAACCAAGAAAAAGTTTAAAAATAGTTTAAAAGGGACTGGATCAACCTCCGATGCTTCTGTTCATTTGGTGCTGGAGGTAATTTTTTGGAGTAAAAATGTGAAACAAGTCCCTCCAGTTTATGGTCTTTATTGCGACCACACCATGAAGCAAGTAATAACTTGTACATATTCCATAGTGTTATGAATCTCTGTGCAGCATCTCATTCTAAGCCAGAGGTGAAGCTCACTTACCCCTTAGGAGTTCACTGGAATGCAACTCCCAGCAGCCTTAGCCAGCATAGCCAGCATTAAGGAATACTGGGAGCTGTAGTCCACCCATTCCCACTCCAGTTCTAGTCCATTATTTTGAACTTGGTTCTCTTCACCAACTGTAAAGCTGTTTTAATTTTTTGTGTTAATGCCTTTTATCCTTTAAAGGCAATGTTTTCACGGTGGTTCATGCATATTTATATATAACTCTATGTTTACAAGCAAGTTCAAATGCTTTATTTAGCGCTATAAAGAACCGTAGGGTTTGCTGTCATATATTCAGCACAATTAATTGTTAAAACGACATGCATCGTTTTGTGTTCCGATGTATATTGGAAAACACTTTCTCTGCATACTGTAATATTATGAGCAGTTCTCTGAAATTCTGGTGTACAAAGGAACAATGCAGAGCATTTTTCCTCCCCGGATGCCATGCATCTTCGGGAGTTGTACATGTGTCCCTCTTTACTTGCAAAAGCTATATTTCCATGTTGATTCCTCTAGCTCAGGGGTAGGCAACCTTTCCCCTTTAAGGGCCGAGGGACTTCAGCTCCCAGAATCCCAGGAGCTATTGGCCAACATGGGACTATTGGCCAACATGGCTGAGGCTTCTGGGAGCTGAAGTCCCTTGGCCCTTACAGAGGGGAAAGGTTGCCTACCCCTGCTCTAGCTTAACAGGTGCATAGTCTGTGGATTGCTTTGCTCTAGATGCTCACAAATCCAAAGGGTCGATGCATTTCCTTCGGATCCTAAACATGTGGACACCAGCACTTCGTAATGAAATAGATCACCTGTGTTTGGAGTATCCACCGTTTCAGGTACACAAGACCAGGTGAGTGTCCTCAGGTAGCTTCACAATTTAGGCAACTAGCAGCAGCGAACTAGGATAATGGGTGTGTATCTATTGTGATTTAAATCTATTGTGATTACATTGGTTTTCTTAGGAGCTTCCCTCCTTCTTGGACATTAGCAATACTTGTCTGTAAATTAGGTTTCTATATGTCCCTTTTAGCAACCCCCTTTCTATAATTCCCATGGCTGCTGAGCCAGGCTGAAGCCCTGTCATTTCAACAGGCTCATGGCTGGAATGTAGAGGTGCTTGGTCTTTTTTGAGAAAGAAATGCCTTTTTTATACACTTGAAAAGATTACCAGGGACTTGAAGAAACTTGCACAAAGCGAGAGGCACGTATGGCAAGACAGGGAAGATGGGAACTCCCTGCTTACTGGAGGTGGGGAGAATATGTATGGTGTAATAAAAGGACTTTACTTCAGAGAGATGTTGTCCTGCTGTGGGTTTTTCTGTTCTTTTATATTATTTGTTGCTTTTAAATTTGTATCCTATCTTGTTCCTCACATGAAGCAGCTCATGGTAGAAGTTAAAAACAAAATGTAACTGAAATAATATACTATGGGCCCTTGGTATCTGCTGTGTTTTGCTTCCAGGACCCCCGTAGATACCAAAATCTGTGGAAGCTCAAGTCCCATTAAATACAATGGCATAGTGAAATGGTGTCCCATATATAAAATGGCAAAAACCAGGTTTGCTTTGGGAATTTATATTATTTTTGAATACAGTTGCCCCTCTGTTTTCGTGGATCTGAGGTCCGTGCTCCGCACTTTACATGCACCAGCAAGAGGAGAGGCTTATAATGGCGCATGCGCCTGGCCATGCATGGGAGCGTGCCCCCATTCAAGCCTATGGGGCTTGGATATGTGCAATATTTCGTTTTCATGAGGGGCGTTTTCCAGAATGGATCCCCCATGAAAACAAAGGGGCAACTGTATTTTCAAGCCATGGATGGCTGACTCTGTGGATAAAAAAATCCATGGATACGGAGAGCTGTAATGCAACTGAAATAATGTTTAAGGCAAACGTTTTAAAAACAATGAAACAGACAACACTCCTACAGATTAATTTGGAAAATCAGTATGCAAAGGGGTCTTGTAGCACCTTCGAGGCTAACTGAGTGAAAGAAGTTGTAACATGAGCTTTCATACATCTCAAAGTTGCTACAAGATCCCTCTGCATATTGATATTCCAGGTGAACATAGCTGAGCCTCTGAGTTCAGATTTGAAAATTGTTTTTGAAGCATGTCTAAAACAGAAAGATCAAAGTCCAACAATCCTCTTTAAAAACTGTTTCAAAGTAAAAATAAAAAGGTATTTTCCTACCAGCAAAACCAGAAAGGGGACAGCCGATGGTCCCATGGGAAGTAATGCCATAGTCCTGGAGCGGCCACAGAGAAGGCTCTGTCCTCTGTCCACACCAGACACACTTGACCAAGTGAAAGCCTTCCCCAAAAGTTCTTAAAACTTGGAAGGCTTATATAGGGAAATGCAGTTTTTCAGCTACTGCAGACAAGGCTTTGTCGCTGATACCCAGCACTTTGATATCTGCCTGATAATGGAAAAGTAGCCAGTGTGGTGTAGTGGTTTGAGCGTTGGACTATGACTATGGAAGACCAGGGTTCAAATCACTGCTCAGCCATGTAAACCCACTTGGTGACCTTGGGCAAATCACACACTCTCAGCCTTAAATGATGGCAATGGTAAACCCCCTCTGAAGAAACGTGCCAAGAAAACCTTTGCCTTTGAGTCATGATAAGTCAGAAATGGCTTGAAGGCACACAAGAAGTCACCCCCATTCTGTGGCTAATGGAGACTGGAGAGGAGGATGGGAATGGGAATACATCTGTCTATATCTCTGTAGCCATCAGTCTATACAGGTGTCCCTCCACATGGGCAGCTTTTGGTTTTGATTTATGGTTTTGATTAATATATTAACTCTAGGAATCTCTAGGTCCTCCAGCACAACTCTGCCAGATGTTGACCATAGAGTTGTGCTGGAGAACCTCGATGTTCCTAGAGAAAACACTTCTCGGGGCATTTGTAAGTCATCTACCATGATTCTATGATCAACTTCTGGCAGATGTTGACCATAGAGTTGCACTGGAGGACCTGGTCACCATCGTATGGAAACAGTCAATGGGGAATGGCAACAGCACAGCTATAACAAGGCAATAAAAACAGCATGCACTGCTCTCTCTCGATATAAAGATCTCCTTTTGTGAGACCTTAACATTCCTCACACACAGTTAACTGGTAAACAGCATGAAAAATGGGATAATTGCGTGAGTGAGCTGCCCCTGCTTCTTTTTAATGCAATACCAGGAAATGCATTAATGACTTGTATTTACTCAAGAAGAAATATTTGTGAATAACAAGTGAGCTTCACGCAGCAAAATGCATGCAGCCACATCAGATTTCCTCGGCAGTCTCAAGTCCTCAGATGCCAGCTGGTGGGAAGCTTTGGGAACCTTAAATCGGGCCTGTGATAGGATTCCTGGCCATCGCACATGCCATTTGAAAGCTCTCCAGGGTTTGCTGGGTGCTCTCTGCTGCTGGCATTTGAAAGCAACCTGCTTTGCTAATGGCTCCCAGCTGGTTCATCTTTAACCCTCTTCATGCTCTTTGGAGATTTATGGCTGCTTCTCAGCTGCTGGAGAGATGAAGCTGGTCTTTAGGAAGTTACACAGGCCTCTTGTGCTTTAAGTATTTGGCCAAGGAATCTGTTTACTTTCTACGCTTCGCAGCTGTCCGTGGTGATGGCTCATCATTCAAACAGCATAACCATTTTTATTTGTTATAGTGTTTTGTTTTGTTTTTAAATAGCCCCTTTTCTTCCAGGGCTATTTTTATTATATTCGGTGTATTTCTGAGATGCTACTCTCAAGATCGGTGGGAAAAGTGTAGAGCTGACTATTTTTGACCTAGCTTTTCCAACAGATGGGTCCTGTCATGCACAGAGTTTAAAAAACCATGGCTGGCATCCTGCAAGTGATTTACAAAGGCATAAGGCCAACTCACTGTTTTGGGCTTTGGGGAGGGTGGGATTCTCAACATGACTGCAAAACAACTCTTCCACACAAAACCCACCTTTCAGCTGCAGTGAGAACTAGTGGTTTGAGTGTTGGTCTATGACCCTGGAGACCAGGACTCAATTCCCCGCTCAGCCATGAAACCAACTGGGTGACCTTGGGCTAGTCACACTCTCTCAGCCTTGGGGGAAGGCAATGGCAAACCTCCTCTGAACAACTCTTGCCAAGAAAATGCCATGATAGTCTCCTTAGAGTTGCCATAATTTGGAACAACTTGAAGGCACCAACAACAATTCAGCTGCTGTAGCCCTGCCCACAACATGTCCACTAGAGAGATCGTATGGCACCTTTGAGACTAACTGAAAGAAAGTAGTTGGCAGCATGAGCTTTCGTAGACTTTAGTTCCCCCCGGAGAATAGAGGACAATGGAACAGCATCCAGAGCTGGGTACATAGCAGTCACATCATCCTCAGGACTTTCACAGGACCCCTGGGTGGACCCAAAGGATGCCCAGAACTGTATGACCTACTATAGGAATGTAAGCAGGTGCTGCTGTGCTACCACTGTGCCGCCTCCTTCCATCAGCGAGTAAATGGTGTGTTTGAATGTGCAGCAGCTTAAAAAATGAGTTTGGGGGTGTAAAGGAGAGACATGTCATAGTTCTGCCTGTGCAGAACTTTATGTCTTCTGAGCCAGGATCACAGCTCGTATTTGCAATGTAAAATGTTTAGGGTGTATCTATTTTAAAAGAATATATTAGTTGATTAAGAGGGCAAGCATGGCGTAGTAGTTTGAGCATTGGACTATGACTCTGGAAACCAGGCTTCATTCCCTTAGTCATGGAGGAGCTAGAAGATCCCTTTTTAAACTGATATTCCAGACTAACACAGCTATGCCTCTGAATTGTAACTCCGTGCAATTTTACAGTAACACTACATAGCTGCCATACTGAATGATGGCCATCACCATCAACAAGAACAGCAACTGCTAACAGTAGCAGTGGAAGATCCTCTCATCCCTGCTCAATACCAACTTTTGCCAGGTGAGGTCCCAATACAAAATCCTTAGGTAAAATCCTTTCCTGATGATATTTGCCACAATGATGATTATCACCATGACAACAAGCATCTTAGCTTTCACTAATTTCCTTTTACTTACCTGGATTATTGACCACTTTGCAACAGGTGTCCTTTTTCCAAGAAAAAAGCAGCTCTGTACCCACAGTGCACCATCATGAAGGAAGGGGGGATCCTTTATTTAAAAAGGGAGGGCACACTACAGCTTGTAAGGAATGCCAGACTGAAATAATACTCACTGTACTTACAGGTCACATTCAATTACTTTATAATGAAACTACAGGCAATTTTGTCCTGGCGGGGAAGAGGAAATAACTATACGAATAATATTGTACTTAATAATATTACTGATAATATATGTACTCGATATATATGAATAACATTGTACTCGGACGAACACCCGTCTTTCTCCTTCTGGCAAAAAGGAGGTTGAAATGTCTACAGAAAGCTTGTCAGATGGCTAAGGCTGAAGGGAAATTCCAGCTCTACCTGGGGATTTGTATATTCCAAGACTAGGTACATGTATTTATATTGCATATTAATTTAGAGATACCACCTACCCACCCCCAAATGGCTGAATGACTTTCATCAAAGAGGTGCAAAAACCTACAGATGGCCTCTTTCGGACTTCTTGCTGGCCCCAAAACCACAGCCAGGGTTTTGCCAAAGTTGAGTTGTTCAAAGAGAGGACGCTTTTGCAGATTCTTCCTTGAAGGGGGAGAAAGAGACAGGAGGAGGGAGACTAAGGCTTTGGGGGGGACAGTGTGGAAGGGCTTTGCATCTCAGATGCCATGGGCTTCTTCCTCCCCGATGGGATCGGAGGAAGCACAGGTTTCGTGTTGGACCCTGGACGGACAATGACTTGCGGTTTGTGCGGGGAAACAGGTTTGGATTTGGATGTTCTCTTCTCTTTGGTTTCACGAGGATGATCCAGCTCTGTTAAAAGTGGGAGGAAATAGGCTGTGAGTGGTAAAAAAAAAACAAAACCCAGCAAAGCTGGCTGTCTAGAAACAAAAAATAGCCAAGATCCCACCCAAAAGAACACCCAATATTCTCTGTGTCATGGAAATCAAGATGGCTTTGAAAGGGGGCACACTGTGTATCCTAAGAAGCACTCTTTGTGGTAGAATTCAAAGACATAGCTGTATTCGACTGGACAATCAGTACACAAAGGAATCTTGTAACACCTTTGAGACTAAGGGGGGTTGCAGACTGCCAGAAATAGTGCAAATTGAGTCCACTTTTAGGGTTAGGGTTAGTGCTAGGGAATCATGGGAATTTTTTTTTCTGAGACATTGAGCCTTCTCTGTCAGAGAACTCTGGTGCCACAATAAAATACAGTTCCCATGATTCCCTAACCCTAACCTTAAAAGTGGACTCAATTTGCACTATTTCTGGAAGTCTGCAACCCCCTTAAGATGGTAATATGAGCTTTTGTAAACTTAAGCAGATTTCCTCAGATGCACCTGGCTGAGCGGTAAGCCCAGGGAAGCCCAATTGTGTCCTAAGGGTCTTGGTGCCCAGTTTTTTATGAGTCTAGCAATGCTGCTGGGTTCCTGCATCATATGGTTCAAGAAACCACATATTTTCCTTGGGACAGTATTCACTGGGCAAAATAGCTCTGTGGGTTTGGCCCAGATATCCAGAGGCCAACTGCCTTCAATGCCACTTTCAAAACTGGAGAGGGAGAGCTCTGAATGAAAGATGGGCAACGGCGCTCCATGAGTATCCCTAGCTACTCTATGGCTGTCATCCAAATGGTGACATGCACCCATGTATGCCCATTTTTGATAGGGCACTGGGGGCTATTTACACTCCTTCCCCAAAACTCCCCTCCCCTCTGATGGTTGTCAAGCCCTGAGAAAGATGCTTGTGGTTACTGGTGGGTGAGGAGCAATTTAGAGCATGAAAATGCAGTTGCTCTGGACTCCTGGAGGAAGAAAAAGGGTGCATTCTCTCCATGAATGCATCCTCATTTCTCTCTCCTGACTGAACTGAGTCCAGCTGCTACTTCATGGTCTCTCTTCCCTCCCCATCAATATGCAACAGCCCCTTTCAGGGCTTAACAGCCTCTGTGGGAAGGATCTAAAACTCTGCAGATGGAGCTATGCTCCAGTGTAGGATGCTGGCCTGTGTGTGTTATTTCTATCCTGGCCTGGAGAAAAAAACCACTTACCAGCCTAGCATTCAAATAATTGATCTCACCTTTTCCATCCTCCTGGGAATCAGAAGATAGGAGAGTGTAACCTGCTGGTGTCCGGGAAGATGATCTACTGCTTGAAAATGCTCCAGCTGAGGAGGCATGGGAATGCTGAGCTGTCGAGTATGAGGTTCTAGAACTGAAAGAAGGAATTGCGATCTTCATAAGGTCATTTGAAAACCAAGGAAAGCAAAACCTAGGTGTACTTTGCAAGCTTGTTAAAAACCAAGAAAGAGAGCCAGCCTTTGTTGGCCCATGAGTAAAAACAAAATCCATGATTATAATGCCAACTAAAACACAGCCAAACAATGTGAACTTTTCATCAGGTGGCCAT